AACGATAACACCAGCGTACGCGGATAAATCATTTCGGGAGTGCTTTTTCTTCTGACTTGCTTAACAAATATCCATATTTAAGGCTAGCTGAGTGATATAGCTTAATGCTAGATAGCCTATACTATTCCACATGAATCTGGCTATAATATACAAAAAGAGTTTTTCAAATCGGACTGGTAGTTTCAGAGATTAGCGCCTTTAAACAAACAAAAAAACTCTTCCGCTTTATTATATTATTTATTAGTATTATAGTATACATTAATTTCAGATGTGATTCCCAATGTTGAGTAAAATCGAAAAAGAAACGCACCAAAAAGGAATTCAGAGTGGAGGTATAGTATTTTTTTATTTTTATAACACACTAGCGACCCGGCCCGGCATCGCCCGTGTTCAAAGTAGATAATAATATGGGTCAGTGTGGAGAGATTAGTAATATTAAACAGTACAAACATGTTTTCTTTAGAGATTATTCTCGAAAACATGACATATAACCTGGCCGCGTGAGAAACACTCAACGCTCAAATCTAAGTCTGCAACTTTGAATGTTCGACCCTGTGACTTATTATGGTCATTGCAAAAGAAAGCTTTACTGGAAATTGCAGGCGCTTAAATTGAAACGGTAAATCCGATGGTATAAGGCACGTTTTATTTTTATTTTACTGGCTGGAGAACACTAGTACACGCGTACGAACGCTACAAATTATAAAATGCTAATGGTCATGACACGGCCATCGACATAAGCACACGGCACACCTCGCGCCCTCCGATCGCTGCCAACCGGGACGAAACCACATGAGTAAATGAGTAAAGAAACCGACCAGAGGGGAAGCTACATACAAACGGCTCGCTGCGAGTACACCCACACATAGCGCAGCGATGTGTGCGTGAGCTCTCACCGACAGGTTCACCGACGCTCCGTCGGGGTACAAACCGGTTTGCGCCGGCTCAGTCAGAGTCATAGATAAGAGTGTATATACTGAAAGTCAGAGTGTCCATGAAAGGGCTGTTAGTCGTGCGCATTTAAATAAATAGACCAAATATATTTCGGTATTTTATATATCAATTAATTTATTAAGTATTTTTGCAATTATTAAATAATTAGATTAAAGTTTTTTAATAAGAATAATTAAGAATTAAGTTATTATAAATTTATATAGGTAAATATAAGTTTTCTGTATAAGCAAAAATGCCTAATAGTTGTACAGTATGCATGAATAATTCTAGAGAAAATAAGGATATTTCCTTTTTTTGTACTCGAGAGATCAAGTGACGTAAGTACCTTTTTACGTATACAATAATACTAGGTAATAACATTGATAGGTAAGTGAGAATGTGTTAGAAAGGTGCGTCGTCGAGTGATCATGTCCGTCTCACCTACTTGAAACGTTAGTCAGTCTAACTTTGACAATGCCGTAGATGGCAGAATATCCTACGTAATAAGGCTAAATGTGTGACTTTATCCACCCACATTAGTATAGAGGTAGGTTGCTTGCTGGGGTAGGATATAAGTTACTTTTTGCGAGTCGCGACCGCAGGGCTAAATACCACTGCATTATGGTTGGAATACAATCGCCAGGGATTGGTGTTGGTGGAAGTGGTGCTGGTGTTGGTGTTGGTGGATAGTGTTGCTAATGGTGTCAGTGGTGGTGGAGGTGGTAGTATCGTAGGTAATGGTAGTAGGCGGTAGACCAACAGTGACTTCATCAACACCACCACCATCACCACCATTACTATCACCACCACCGCCACTGCCCACGACCACTATCACAGGAACAACTACCACCACCACCACTTACACCAAAACTCTTGATTTCGAACAATTAATAAATATGTTGTTACATTAATATAAGTTTAAGTTATACACATGATGTCTTATGCTATACAATATTTTTATTTTTTCCTTAAAATTTTCACATGCATCAGGTAACAACCATATCAGAATAGGTATAGATTTTCGACGTTGTTAGGAAGCTTCCCCTCTGGTCCTCTTTACTCTGTGACGAAACGTACGGCCCGCCAGCCGCTGTGCCTCCGCTTTTTAAGTCTCTGATTTCTCTTAGGATGTCCAATTTAATGAAATATACCAAGAATGTAATGTATTTAATTGGATAAGGAATAATACAGTATTGTATAAAATAGGTTTTTAAATAACACATTTTTTTTTGTAATATGTATAAGATAACAATGGTTACTGTGGGTTATCTTTAGCAGATAAATATATACCATTGCGGAAATTGCTATTGATCTTCTTATGACATAATTCCAGTACATTAATTTGATCTATCTCGTAAGATGTAGCCAGCGTTTCCGATTTGTTTTTTACGACATCACATTACAAATCTTTGGATTTTCGGCTTTTCTGTACCATAATATGTATGTTTTATACATGAAAATATTATTAAATTCTGTTGAGTAGTTTAAAAGATCTAAGCTAACAGACAGCGACAGAGACTTCATTTTATACCATGTAAAGATACCACCTCATAAGAACTAGTTATATAATAATATACACTAACTAGCTTTGTTAGCGACTTCGGTCGCATAGAATTTTTGTTAGTACTTTATCTACAGGCATCTTTCTGCCATCTATAACATCTATGGTAAATAACCCTCACGTTGGGAGAGGTGCATGTTTTTAGGTAGATTTTTACAGGCTAATCATGATGAAGAAGAATAGTTCTAGTTATTTTTAGACAACTTTTGGTCGTAAAGTAATGCAAACTTTAGTTCGTAATCTGCTCCTGCAAGTTACGAACTAAATTGTATAATTATATATTATCCTTTTACAGCCAATAAATATGCTTCATAAGAATAATTAAAAATATTGCTGACGAGGAAAATAAGCTTGAAAAGCCATTTTCAGAAAGATTTCACGCTGCTAAGGATCAAAACAACCACCTGTTATTTAATAAAAGTTTTGACAAAATAACACTACATTCAAATCCAAATTCAATCCAAAGGTTGAAAATATATAAAAAATTATAAAATTTGAGATTTTGTTTTATTCTAATTTAAGGCTGAATTCATACAATAGATATGTATTTGCTGAACTTTTCAAATATGTATTTTAAAATAAGAAAATAATCCTTGCATGTCGACTTTTTACCTGTTCATCACTAAACTATCGATATCCTAGTTTGCATCACTATACGGCACTAGCGCTTTGCGAATTCATTAGAACTAACCGTAAACTAGAGAACTGTCCTATCTATCTGTTACTATGACTAGTATGCATAAGAGATGAGTCGTACTAGGTAAATTATGTATTAGGTGCACTTAGTCCAATTCCGTACAAATACTCGATCCAAATACCTGTTCCACGTAGTACATGAAGTACGCATAGAGTTTAGTGTTGTTGGAATAGTTTATACTTTGAAGTACGCTTAGTCTTTACGTACAGCCGATCCCGATACGTGAAGGTAATGAATAGTAATCAATCGTCCATTCATACTTTACACAGGTTTATGACTGGTCAACGTTAAGATTTATCTACATTCTAGATTGTTGGCGTATTTAAAAGATTCAATTTTTTCGTTTATTTTTTTAAAATTATTTTTGTTTCTTTTTTTAATTACCTATCTACAATTATTGTTTTAACATAGGCGCGAAAAATCAGTCTTAAGAGTTTTTAAAACTAAATTATATTTTACAAATGTTACACTCAGACATTTGTCCGTAAAATGATCCCAAGCGACACTGCTGCAATTTTTTTAAAACAATAAACACTTTAATGTTTAATAAAAAAAGTGAAAGTTCTTTAACCACATAACAAAACTTCGTTACGAAAACCTATTACTAAATAAGTCGAGTAGGTATCATTCAATACGGTGCCGAAATCACATTCGCATGAGTCCGTACTAGACACTCGGACTGCATTATATGATCTCCATTCACATCGAGTATTAACTAGTACCTAGTCTATAAAATCTGCCTAGTTTTGGTTGAAGTCCCCGGGACTAGTTTCGAGTATTGACAAACAAACATAGAAAGACTGCAGAATAGTGTAGTTAAAAAAGGATAGAATATAATCTTGCACAACACGAGTGCGCGTCGTGTTACCTTTATACATATTGAAATATAGTTCAAATTCAAATTACTGACACACGAATGATTTAGGCAAACACGAGTGAGCGGCAAAGCAGACTAGTAACTATGGCACCAAAATGCTATCTCGCTTTGCCGCACCAATTCAATTTAATTCGAGCGTTATCTATGTCGAGCGAGCCGCGTTGTGCCGTGCGACATGTAGGCACAGTGAGACTAGGTGGATCAAGTATTTTAAAAGCTGGAACAGGTGCAACCTAGTCTCGTTTTATACCTAGTGCCTAGATCTGTTTTAGTATATACGCTACATCTCTAGTATGCAGTTATCTGTGGTCTAGTGCATCCAAAGAGTAAAGTAACTGTCCTATACAGGAAAGTGCATCACAGTGAATTGTCTAGTGTTTACAATTTATAGTATAGTTTTAATTACATACCTTATAGTGAATCGATTAAATTGTTGTTTTTGGCGCTTTCATCAAAGTGCTAATGAATTCTGTCAAAGAGAAATGAATAAAGAGTTACGGTAAGCAACTTTTGTTATGAATCATTGGAACCAGATGTAAAATTGCTCTGTATTTATATAGGTTTGTGTTTTATATTAATATATATTTCACGTTATCTTAATATATCATATTTAATTTTATACTATACTCTTGGCTAAACCATATAAAAATATTCATTTTATGGATTTCGAATTAAAAAATATTTATTTACAAGTGTATATTGCTAATTTTCTGATACCTACTTGCTTAAACTAATCTTTACATAAACAAAAGATATGATGGGTTAGATTTTTTTTAGTTATTATCATCTAATAGATGCTTTACTGTCAGCCAGGTACAATTAAAACAGAAACATTTTGTTCTAAGCTCTAATTATTAAGAATTTAAAATACATATAAAGTATATAAATAGCTTAAGAAAAATGTATAAATTCATATATTATTTGTATAGGTAATGGGGGTCTGCTGGTGCAAAGATGGAACTCCAGGTGAGATAGAGGTATATGCACCTTCAGGATCGTCACAATGGCCACAAATTATCTCACCAGAAGAACCCCGTATAAAAATTCATAAAGTTGTAGACACAGTAGTTGTGGATCAGCTAGTATTAGAGATATTGGGTCTTATAGCATCCTTTGTTGATAAGTAAGTTCATAAATCATTTTACTTTATTTGATTTGAATCCTATATTTTATTCCTGAATAAAGGTGCTTAATATATCAATTTTATGTACTGCGTGACCAAAACAATCAGCTGCATCACAGCTAAGACATCATTAAAGCTAGGGAGGGAACATTGGAACAGTGATTGATTACAAGGGGAAGAGTGGGGACAGAGGTGGTTTGCGGGCACCAAAACTAAATGTATTTACTTATTTATATTGGTATTGAATTCATTTAGAAGGAATTAAAAAGTTTGTCTATAAATTTTATATTTTGGAAAAGTAACCCTAAGTAGTACATAACTACATGTTATTATCTATTTTCTGTGATGTTAGTACTGTTAGCCTAACAGCTTCATCTAACACAGGGCTGAAAAGGTTACTTAAAATGTGATGAATGTGAATTTTACAATGAAATCTCTAAAAATAAAGTGCAACTATTAGATAAAAAACTAAAAACTTGTTAAGGATTTTTTTTCGAAAAAGCGTACTATAAAATATACCAATATATTTGGAAGTGTTGAAACAACTTTTAAATAACACAACTTGCTAGTCCCCCAGGTACAGACTGTTTAAACTGACATTTTTAAAGTATAATGTACAGACCTTAGACATTGAATTTATAACTTTGCATTAAAAAAAATTAAAGACCCCAGAGTTTCTTGCTGGTTCTTTTCTGAGTTGGTCTTGTTTTTGTGAACTGGTGTAAATTTTGATATTCGTAAGTGACATTTCTTACATATATTTTGTGTTTTTGTTTCATATTTACATTAATTTCTTTTATATTAAAAGTATTTGTACATGAGCATGAGTTACTTAAGTGTCATTCTTAAATTTTACAGTTTGCTATTTCTAAAATAGTTTTTATTTTTTCTGTGTACTTGTAAATGCCAATGCTTTAATAATCCTTATTTGTAATTACTACGCTAATGTAAAATTCTTGATGATTACTTGTTATGAGAATTATTGAAATGAAAACACTTTAATTGTATATAATTAGGCTCTGCGCATCAATAATAATTATTATTATAAATATATTGTTAGATTTTAATTTAATTAATTTTTAAAATGTGATTATAATTTAAAACAAAAAATCAGGGGCTGCTAAATATATACCCAGGTGCAACAATTGGGCCATAGGGTTGTTTAAACATATTAAAAAAAAATTGAACACTAAAAAATAACTTGCAGGAAGAAAAAAAATTACATTATACTTACAAATTGTCTAGAATTCTCTTGTTTTAACATTGCTTGCGATTGACTTGCTGGCGATATTAGAATATGCTTTAATAAGTGCTGTTAAAACTTTAGTAACTTATAGAATCCTTATAATAATTTAAGTCTTATAATTTATAAATAAATAGTTTATAAAGTATGCCTTGTAATGGTGGTGTAAGATAATTCTTTACATTCTCTCAACATTGGGGTTTCACAATGATCAAATATGGGAATTTTTTTTAAAATGTTTTGGCTTCTGATACATGTTAACTTAAATTACCAAACCCAGTGATGGCGGCATCGTCAAATGTATGAGACTTCTGGTACTGTAATCATCCTACCAAACAGTGATTATGGAAAATATTGTCTGTCCCATAACAAAAGAGACTCAATATTCAGAAGTTTATTAATATAAAGACTGATATTATATTGCCTTATTTATTTATTTCTATCTTTTTAATTTGTTGCGTGCTATGTAAAGCCTGGTGGATATGAGTCATATTGCACTAGTTTTAAAACTCTTAAGGCTCTGCAAATTAATGTTGTTCAAATCTCTCTTGTAGGTGACCCGATGAGTTTCACTCCGAATTCACTTGGGTCTGTGAACAATTTAGTGCTACCTGTCAGGTACCTTGTTGACATCAAAATGATAGACACTTTCTAGTGCATTTTGTCATATGATATACAGTTTTTCTGTGAGCTACTATAGCTTGTAAAGCATACAATGCAAGTAACTATCATTTTGATGTCAACAAAGCAAATAGTCATGCAGATTTTAATATTTTCTTTTCTGGCATTAAGCCAACATTTATTGTGAATATGAGTTATTTTTGACCATAATTTAGTATTTGTTATTAACTTATGGAATCTAGCATAGGAATGAGCCATCGTCTTGACTGACAGAAATTACACAATCCGTAACAGGTGCGCCAGCAATTATATCTAAAAAGATGATTGGTAAATAATAAAATATTATGTAATAACTTGCTCAAATTCTTGTACTTGCTTTGCTGTGTAGTAAGAGTAGACCCGTGGCTGTTGTGATAGGTGGCAGAAGCAAATGGGCTTTAACATCTTCCTGATAAAAACTCAAAATATGTTGTCTATGTTGCGTACTTGTATTATCATAGATTATATTTGATATAATCTGATTTATAATGTTGCTTTCTCATGTACTATTACTATGCCTCTTGAACTGCATTACTGGACTTCTCCATTTTACATGACCTATAAAATATCATTCGGTAGATTTTATGAAAATAAAAATTGGTAAAATTAATGGTTAATTTCAGTGATGAGGAATCACCTGTGTCCTTAGTGAAATTACACGTCATAGCGGACAAAGAAGATGGATGGATCCAAGTGGTTTCGTCTATGGTTAATGTAATACCATTAGAAGATCCTTTTGGTCCATCTGCTATAACAATCCTTCTTGATGACTGCCCTCTACCATCAAAGGATTCAGTAATTAAGGTAAGATCTATATCTCCTTATATCGTTACTATTAATATTTCAGCTTCCCACAAGTCCACTTCTGAAGGAATACCACCCTCAATGAATGTCAAAAACTCGGTCCTCCTGTGTCATCCTTCTTCCTGCATATCTTACCAGGTAGACACTTAATTTAGTGGAGGCCAATCTACACCGCCCTTATCGGTACGAGGCTCTGTCACTCAAGGACCTTTCTTCTTCATCAGTTGTACAAGCTTCGGCCATATAGACTTGCCTAGGTTTCACTAGTTTTGCTGCGAATTCCCAGTTATGTATTCTTCATGGAGAAAAACTCAAGTATATACTTCTCCTTAGCTTGCTGAGCGACTAAGCTGCATGTATAATGCAGCAAATCAGCATTAGAACTAAGACTATTTATTTTAAATCAAAGGGTAATAGAATTGCTTAAAATCCAATATATATGGACTCTGAAGGTCACCCTACTGTATTGCTGTAATTGATATAACAGATTTGTATTTAAACTACAACCTTGACGACTAAATACTCAAATGCTGCTCAATTTTAAGAAGCTGTTAAGTCTCGTGCTGTCTCTATCACTTTAAGTCAAAGTGACTGTGACACCACGAGACTTAACGACATCTTAAAATTGAGTAGCATTTGAGTATTTGGACGCCACTAACATAATGATACTTTTCCAGCATATTGTCAGCCACCTTTTTTAACAGGGTCGCCCTAGCAATGCAGAAGATAAATCAACAGTGTTCTTTAAAAATGTACGCACTAAAATGTACATCCATCTCACTGCCTCTAGTAGTGCCAAAGCCTACTTAAATATACTGATATTTTGTATTAAGGTCGTAGAATATATGCCTATTCACTGATTCACTGAAAAGTGAAAATTTATTCAGCAGCGTTATTCTTCTTTTTTTTTTCAATTAACTTCATCCTGCCATATTTACGAAAAAATTATATTGGAGTTGACTTTACAACAAAACACAATTACATAATTTTGTAAGGCTATTGATAGCCATTGAGACAGCATGTGTTACGGTAACAGTTTATATCTATATATCAATATACATATAACTGGCGTCTTTCAAGCTGGAATCCTCCTCAATGATATCCAAAATTTTATTGTGTCAAGATTTAGTAAGGTATTGGTGACAATAAGTGACTTAAGAAAAAAATTATTAGTGACTTAATACTTTAGGTGTAGCCTTTTTTGGAAGGATTCTGGCTTGAATACAAGCTAGTAGATTTTTCTCAAAAACGCCATTACTGTCTGCTTTTGAGATGTGATTCCTGTTTTAAGGTTTAATGAGCAATTGGTGACTTTCATTTACCGAGATTGGGACATATTGCTCCAACGGAACTGGAGTGATTATGAATAAAAATCTAATCTTAGGGAGGATTCTGGCTTGAAGATTATAAATCAGAGATTAACTCCAGAACATCTATGTCTTCCTCTGTGAAATATGTGTCAAGATTTAGGTTACAATCTCAAAATAATTGACAGTATGTAGATTAATTCTATTGTTTAGTCGGAGTCGTTTTGAATCTGTCAGGTCACGTATGAAAATAAATCTTACTAAGGAAAATATCCGTCCAATAATTTTCCTCAACTTTCAAAGAGATCTAATACGGCTTCAGTGTTTCGAAGAGCTAACTTCAGTGTTCCATGATAAATCCCCATGTCTGAGGACTGTCGAACGCTGGTATTTAGAATTCCACCGTGGACATACCAATCTTAGTGACAAATCTCATTAAGGACGTCCAAAATTCGACTTCACTGAAGATAACATCGTTCCTGTGAGAAAACTAATTCTCGAAGATCGTCATTTGACATACCGTCCATAGAGACGTTATTAGTCATCTCAGGGACAACCATTCAGAAGATTTTGCATGAAGCGCGTAGTGTGAGAAGGCTAATTTGGCGTTTGATTCCGCATTTGCTTACCGACGATCATAAGACAACCCGCGTCAGATGGTGTAAGAAAACTCTGCAAAGGTTCAACCGAAGACAGTCAAATCACGTTTACGACATCATCAGTGGTGACGAATCTTGGATCTATATCTACAATCCCGATTTTTAAACAACAATAGACAATTTAGTTCTTCCAAGTCTAGCCCAAGCCGGCTAAAGTTGTGCGCTCTCAAAGTACTTCAAAGAAAATGGTGGCCACGTTCATTGTGAAAACCGGCCATGTTGCGACGATAGCACATGAAGATCATAGAACGGTTAATGCAGAGTGGTATAATACAGTTTGATTACCGCAAGTCATCGCCCAACTTCGGAAATCTAACCCAAGGCGACGCATCATATTACACCACGACAACGCAAGCTCACACAGCGATGGTCTAAACGATTGAGTATTTGAAGCATTAAAACGTAGAAATTGTTAACCATCCTCCATACAGTCCTGACCTAAGCCCTAACGATTTCTTTACATTTCCTAAAATTTAGAAAAATCTTCGTGGTCAAACGTTCCAGTCCGGTGAAGAAGCAGTTGACGCTTTCAAAACAGCCATATTTAACACCCCACTTTGGAGTGGAGTAAATGTTTCAATAATTGGTTCGAGTGAATGGAGAAGTGTATTAAACTATGTGGTGAATACTTTGAAAAACAATAAAAAGTACTATAAGGTTCTAGTTGTATTGTTTTGGTCAAACGACAAAACTTAAAAGGCACGCCATATATAAAAAAATCGCCACACAGCCTGCGTACCGTGTGCAGCACATGTGAACGCAGGTGTTATGGCATATATATAACTATTGCCGAAACACGTTACAACGAGTGCATATTAGGCTAATAAATGGCTACAGATTCCTTGCTACAACAGGTCCCATCCGCAGAGATCGTGATCCTTGGCGATTTTAACGCCCACCATGCCGAATGGCTCGGTTCACGTTTAACCGATGATGCGGGGAGATCTGTTTATGACTTTGCCTTGGCATATGGTCTGACACAACTGGTTACATCGCCTACGCGGATTCCAGATGTTGAGGATCATACACCTTCCCTGTTGGACCTTCTGCTGACCTCTCATCCGGACGGATTTGGGACGGAATGCGGTCTTTCTTTGCATCCTACCCATGGGGGCGGGTTAGCTTCTCGCCGGATGATCCCAGCGCTGTTGCTGACTCTGTCACTGATGTGGTGCTACAGGGACTGGAACTTTTTATTCCATCATCTGTGGTACCCATCGGAGGCAGATCTCAGCCTTGGTTTGGTCGCTCCTGTAAGACTGCATTACGCAGTAAGCAGGAGTGTTATCAAGCCTGGGCTGCGGCATCGGCGACTCGGGATGTAAACACCAGCACACTTAAAAAGAAGTATAACTTCGCCTCCAGGTCCTTCAAAAGAGTTATTGCCAGGGCAAAGTCAGAGCACATAGGCAGAATTGGCGAGAAACTAGTTCGCCTTCCCTTCGGGAACCCGTGCATTCTGGTCTCTCGCCAAGGCTGTCCAAGGGAATTTCTGTAAGCCATCACTACCATCTCTGCACAGGGAGGACGACTCACTGGCCCACGACGCAAAAGAGAAAGCCGACCTTTTAGGCTCCCTTTTTGCGTCCAACTCGACTGTTGATGACGGGGGGAACATACCGCCGACCATCCCGCGGTGTGAGTACTCCATGCCGGATGTGCGGTTCTCACAGCGCTCGGTTCGCAGAGCACTCCTCTCACTTGACATCCACAAGTCGAGTGGGCCTGACGGAATCCCCCCAATTGTGCTGAGGACGTGTGCTCCGGAGTTGGCACCGGTTCTAACGCGTCTTTTCCGGTACTCCTACTCCCTAGGCGTAGTCCCGAAATCATGGAAGACAGCTTTTGTCCACCCGATCCCTAAAAAAGGCGACCGCTCAGACCCGTCCAACTACAGGCCTATCGCCATCACCCCCTTGTTCTCCAAAATAATGGAATCCGTTATAAACTGCCACCTCATGCGGTACCTTGAGGATCAAGCTCCCTTCCTATGGGCTTCCCGAGAAATTATGCAATTGGATAACCAGCTTTCTTGCAGATCGGAGCATCAAGGTCGTTTTAGACGGTGCATGCTCCGACTACAAGCCTATTAACGCAGGTGTTCTATCACCAACGCTGTTTCTTCTACATATCAATGATATGTTACAAGCCGGTAGCATTCATTGCTATGCGGATGACAGCACTGGTGATGCTCTATACACCGGCCGTGCCAATATTTCTCGGGAAAACGTCACCGAGTACCGGAACAAACTTGTGTCTGAAGTTGAGTCTTTGCTGGACAAAGTCTCGGATTGGGGCGACTAAATCTAGTCCAGTTTAATCCTCAGAAGACTCAAGTTTGCGCGTTTACCGCTAAAAAGAACCCCTTTGTCGTATCTCCTCAGTTTCAAGGTACTCCCCTTGTTGCCTCAGCCAGTATCGGAATCCTCGGCGTCGACATATCGAGTGACGTGCAGTTTCGTGGTCACTTGGAAGAGAAGGCCAAATTGGCCTCTAAAAAGCTTGGCGTGCTCAGCAGAGCGGGACAGTATTTCATGCCGGCTCAACGCCTGCAACTTTACAAGGCGCAGGTTCGGCCTCACATGGAATACTGTTCCCATATCTGGGCTGGTGCTCCCCAGTGCCAGCTCCTTCCACTTCACCGCATCCAGCGCAGAGCGGCTCGAATCGTCGACGACCGAGTCCTTTCCGATCGGCTCGACTCATTGGCGCTGCGAAGAGATGTTGCATCTCTTTGCATGTTCTTTCGCATTTACCACGAGGAGTGCTCTGAGGAATTGTTCGGATTAATCCCACCTGCCAAATTTCACGAACGCACATCGCGGCAGAACTCCCGATACCATCCACACCATTTGGATGATTGGCGGTCCACCACTGTGGGATTGAGAAGATGTTTTCTTCCTCGCACAACTTCCTTGTGGAATAGCTTACCACCAGCGATTTTTCCGGACCGATACGACTTAGGGACCTTCAAGAAAAGAGCCTACTCCTTTTTAAAAGGCCGGCAACGCTTCTGTAATTCCCCTGATATTGCGGTTGTTCATGGGCGGCGGTAGTCACTTACCATCAGGTGAGCCGCATGCTCGTTTGCCCCCTCTCCTATAAAAAAAAATGCTAAGTCGATCACTTCTAGATTTTCATTTCGATGCAGGTAACCAAACTGTTCCGGTTGTCATCACAACGAGCCAAGGCGCGGGAAATCAACGTGCGTGTGGAACGCAACATCTGCGTGGTACTGGGCTGCATCGCGGAGAAGCTGGCTGGACCCAATAGCGTCGCCGTCTTCACAGATCGAACGCTAGATTACTTGATTACGTTCCTTGTGAGTATTTTCTGTTTTTAAACATTCATCATCTTTGTAACTCTTCTTAAAACTTAGTGATGACGTTCAGACATGGTGTTTGGGATCCTCTTCTGTCTGGAAATCAGTCTTGGTTAAATTATCCCCTTTACTATTACCTCTAACGACTGTTTACGATTTCATTCTACAATTAATGTAAGTGATAGCATGTGTAAATGTAAGTGATAATTATAGCGTCTTCTCCGTCAACGCATCCATGGATTGCAGAGACGATTTCCTATTAAATAGTTTGTAAGTTATTTTGTCCCTAATATTCTAATTAAATCATTCTCCACATAATATAGAGAACTACAAGCATATATTTGCATGTTGCCGCTGAGACAGTGATTGTTTCATTAAAATGTTTGACCAATTAAATGAGTATTATGATCACATTCAAGTAACAGTGATAGAGAGAGACGCGCGGCAGATTTTGCTCTTGTAGAGCGATAAAACCATGACGGCCCCTGTCACGCTAACCATAAACTTCTGCAACATCAGGGGACTTCACTCGAACCTTAACGTAGCTGATACTTCGTACCTTTCCTACCCGTTGTATAAATTAGAACACTCTTTTATGTCTCGGGCTTTTGTTTGCGTTTACGTCAGAGAGGATATCTGTTCTCGACGCCTCGGCAGTCTTGATTTTACATTAGACCTGTCCACCCTTTGGCTGGGCGTAGACTGCTACGAATATTCCCGCGTCTTCAAATGCCTTTATAAGTCCCACAGCGGTAATGCCGACACGGGCCGACTCCTAGACCATGACAATGGCTACAGACTCCGCACTACAACGGATAAACCTGGGCGATTTTAACGCCTACTTACCACGCTGAATGCCTTGTTTCACGTTTGACCAATTATGCGGGGAAATCTGTTTATGACTTTGCCTTCTCGAATTCTAGATGTGGAGGATCATGCACATTCCCTATTGGACCTTCTGCTGAAATCACAAGTTTTCTTGCAGATTGCAGCATCAAGGTCGTAGTTGACGGTGCGTGCTCTGACTACAAGCCCGTAAATGCCGTTGTAAACCTTTTAAAAATAATTGAATACAGATTTGTGTTTATTTTATAAATAGAGTAAAATAGTCACTGATTATCCAAGAATAAGTATACTTTAGAGAGAATAATGGGTTAGCCTGACCGGGTGAGGATTGAGCTCGCACAGGATAATAGCCTAAAATGTTTGTGTAAAGTGGTCGTAGTCACCCTCAAATTTTGTTGGTAACTTTGAGAGTGACAAAAACCACTTACCAACTGAGAGTTCTTTTTTCACCCTTACTATTTATTATAAACAATTTTATGTCTTGAATTTTGGATTTGGTGGTCAGCGAGAGATCAATTTTGTCTTGATTTTTTAGTGAATGCGTTACATCAATAATAATAGAAGCAGTTTCTGTATTTTATTTTTTATTAAAGTTGTGTATTATGCAACTGAAAAAGATACCACTCCTGGTATTGTACCTTTTAAACAATATAAGATTCATTACTCTGTTGAATCCAAATAACGAGAAAGTTCTATTTGTGTCGCGTATGTTTATTTTTGTGTATGTTTTTTTTTCACCGATTTCTTCGAAACGACTAAATCTATTTAATAAATTATTTTTTTATTAAATAGGTTATACTTTAGGGGTATACACACCACATTCCCAAATTTATTTTATGGATTATATAGCGTAAAGCACTCGAATAGTTGGAAATTAGAAATAAAACAACCAAATCTATAAAATTAATGTTATTCAATGTGTTCTCATGAGTATGATAATTTATTATGTATATTCTACAGTTACCATAGTGGTAACGTTTCATTCAAAATTGTATAGATAACACGCCGGGAACCTTGCATAGTACTGTTCGCATTAATCGCTTTGGAGAAGTTCGCACATACCACAGAAAATAAGCTGACAATTAAGCAACGTCTGGAGAAGGAGGCTGAGCACCCACTGCTAGTTTTGGAGCGCTATGCGGACAGCGAGGACTACATGTGGCGACAGGTCGGCTTCTGCGCGAAGTGGGCACTCGATAATGTTTGTAAGTTTAACTCAATCTGGAATACTTATATGCAAGAGTAGGTTCTTTGCTAACTTCATCAACTGTAACATGAACACTTGTTTTATTTTATTTATTTATTCTTTATTATACACCGAAATACAGAATACGAATATAGTTCAATTTCAAGTGTATATACAAAGGGCGGTCTTATCACAATGACTTCTATATGATTATGATTAAGGACGTAGTTACATTTTTGATGTGCTCGAATTTAGATATTCGAATTGCAAGCCGACTTACGCAATGAAACAGTTTTCCGCCATATTTAAGTGATGAAAGTAACTTACCTGTAAGTGAACATTGATCATAATTATATTATTGGGTTAACGCCTTGTCTGTGTTTACTATGTAGTCACGTCTTGACGTGGCCAATTCACGAGTATCCAAAGCTCATAAAACAAAAAAAGTTTCTTAAGCATACCATAGCTGGCAGCACTATCTCTAGTCATTGAGTTCAAAGAATAAAAACAATTAAACATTGCAATTAATGGGTGGGGCTATATATTCACATTATATAGGGGGAGGGTTGTACACAGACGAGGCGTTAACTTCATAATATAATTATGATCGAAGTTCACTTACAGGAAAGTTACTTTGATCACTTAATTATATTCGTTAACGCCTCGTCTGTGTTTACTATGTAGATGTTTAAAGAATGAGATTGCAGTAATTTGTTTAATTATTTAATGAAATATAACAGACAAAACAAAAAATCAGTGTTGATAAAACTAGGCTTTAATGTAACATTTTACTTACTAATACTGACTAGTATACAATTACTTTGATCATATTATAGGCTTATTATAAAATTTTGCAAATGTACTAGTTCTATTAGTCCAATCAGCAGTTTTTCTGATATGGTCAATATTAATAACTGCGATTTGCTAAAGATGTCGAGGCATGTCTAGTACTATGAGCTGTAAATAATGAGGTATTTGTGCCAGATTTTGACAAAATGTCCTCATGTCAAATTACTTAATTAGTATTTAATTGTTTGACATTTGGAGTCATGAATTGCATACATTTCGTTTTAGTGCCATTTAAATGCAAATTATTAACATTGACCCAATTTACTAATTTAGATATAGCTATTACTTCTTCATATTTTAATAATTGTCGTTTTAATTTGAAAACGAATGAAGTGTCATCAGCAAATAATACTATATTATGGTTATCCCCTACTGTATAAGGTAAGTCATTATTATATACAAGACGGCAATCAGCGCTTAGAACTTCTTACCTAGAATGAAGATTTACTACGCCATCACGTGAGATATGCGCTATATACTGGTTCTCAATCTGTGCTAATAACGTTTTAGTATAGTTAAAAATATTAAATTTATGTTATCTTATTTATGAATTGGCTAATCTGTTTCTACACATCTGTCAGTTTTATTTTACAATTGCAATAATTGCTCAACAAGTAAAACCCATATAAAATAAAATTTCTCTTCATTATTCGTTAGGTTCTAAGGGCTAATTTTCGATTAACTTAAGGGACTATGAGGGTGACACTGAAAGTTCTTAGAAAATCAAAAACTGAACAAACTAGCAAGTTATTAGTTTTTATTATATATTTTCAAAATAGTGTCCATTTACGTCAATACATCGCATTGAGAAAAGCACTTTGGCCACTCGTCCTTAGGGGTCTCTTCGACGGCATTTTGAAACGCAGCCACTGCTTCCTCGGCGTCCATAAACGTTTTCCTCGAAGTTTTTCTTTTATTTTCGAAAATAAAATCGCAAGATGCGAGATCGGCTATAGGGCGGGTGACCCAGTATTTCTGCGTTTGACGTCGCCAAGTAGTCGATTGTTTGCTTGGCGGTGTGCGACGAGACGTTGTCATGGTGAAGGAGGATCCCACTGCGAAGTGTTTTCTCCCGAACTTTTTCCAAGACAAGTGGCAAACAAGTGTTGTTAGTGTACCACTCTGCAGTAACTGTTTTTCGATCGTTTAAAACAATTGTTGCGTAATGAACTGTTCTTCCGAAGAACGAAGGCACCATCTTTATTCCCACGCTTCGACCTCTCCTCACTTTAGTTGGAAACTTCTCGGAAGGAAACACCCAGACATCCGACTGTCTCTTAGTTTCGGAATCATAACAATAAATCCAGCTTTCGTCACCCGTAATTATGAATATAATAAATATAGTATTAATTTTCTCGCGTTAAATTCATGCTGACGTGACACAGACTATTTTCTATTTGCCGCCAAATCCTAAACAAATTAATAAAATACATACACAATAATATTGGCAAAGGGTTCTATTTTCAAAATTTGAACTTATTTTTTTATTATATCATTTACAAGTGGCCAGTTCTAAAAACTTTCAGTGTCGCCCTCGTATACCAGTGCATTTCGTAGTGAGTGACATGCATTTATGTACTTTCAGATTGTGCTTCTCAATAATTTACAATTTCGACTTCGTTGCAAGCACTAAGAGACAGATCTGTCATTGTGGAAACTTTATGGCAAATTATTGTGTTCCAGAGGCGTAAAATTTTAATGTGCACGATTGCAATTGCGTTCATTAGTACATAACTGATCCCAACTTCCGTCCGCTTGCATTCAACCTTCAATCAATTTAAATCGTATTATAGTTGTTTGTGTATGAACCGCTGCGCCTTTTTTTACTCCAACTCCACTTATACTAGTATGATTGTGAGATAATGCAATGTTGAAGTATCAGTAGGACAAATGATAAGAATAATACCTCTATTGAATATATAAACAAAAGTAAAGTTCATTGATATAGTCATTTATCAAGTAAATTTAATTAATTTAAGGCAGAGCTGAATAACGGCCACTAGGGGGAAAGTAAAAGAAACAAGAGGTACTGCCTTCTGCATCAGAACCCGGAACAGTCCGTCACGTAGTCCCAATAGAGAGGCTGATCGGGATTAACCGGCGTTTCTACAAACGACAACAAGAATAATTTTAACCACCCTACATGTCGGTTACCTCGTGATCCAAATCCAAATATTTTGTTTTCTTAACTGTTTCGCTTTTCACGAGGTTCTCGTTGATACGGAATGGTAATGTCGATCAAAAATATCCCGATACCTCCGTCCCAATAGAGCTATATCATTATTATTTTTATACTACATAAACCTTCGCTCTCTTTGTCTAATTATTTTTACCTGAAACTGTTACTATCATCATCATCATTACAGCCCTTCACAAGTCCACTGCTGAACATAGGCCTCCCCCAAAGAATGCCACAAAGCACGGTCCTGAGCCACCTGCATCCATCGACTTCCTGCATATCTTACCAGGTCGTCACTCCATCTAGTGGGGGGACGCCCTACACTTCGCCTGCCGGTACGAGGCTGCCACTCGAGAACCTTTCTTCCCCATCGGTTGTCGGTTCTTCGAGCTATATGGCCGGCCCATTGCCATTTCAGCTTACTAATCCGTTGGGCTATGTCGGTCACTCTAGTTCTACTGCGGATATCCTCATTTCTGAGTTTATCACGCAGAGAAACTCCGAGCATAGCCCTCTCCATAGCTCGCTGAGCGACCTTGAGCTTCCTCATCCGGCCAGCAGTGAAGGACCACGTCTCAGTTCCGTATGTCATCACTGGCAACACGCACTGGGTGTACAGTCTCGTTTTCAAGTTTTGAGGTATACCTGACGAGAAGATGTGCCGTAATTTCCCGAACGCTGCCCAACCGAGTTGAATCCGTCGATTGACCTCTCGGTCGAAGTTGGACTTACCTACTGTTACTTACCTACTAACTGTTACTAAAATATGCTAAAATTATGCATTTTGATACTCTCTGTGCGGTTGTACCGACTCACATTAGCATATAGTCGGTAATTCGATTTCTCCGGTCGTTTTCTACCGACTTCAAAAAGGAGACGGTACTCAATTCGACTATATGTTTTTTTATGTGTGTTACCTTTTTTCTGGCCGAACCGATTTCGATGATTCTTTTTTTATTTGAAAACTGGTGCTTCTCATGTGCTCCCATATAAGTTTAATCAAGGTCTGACCAATAGTTTTTGAGTTAATCTTAATAATTTATATTGAAGTCGGTTGTACAAATTTTTAATTTTTAATTATTGAGTTATATGTACTACGTACTAGAGAAGCCATTCCAAAAAAAATTGTGTCCTACTCTATGTCTTCGCGCATGCGCGGGAGTAGTAGTCGCGCATGCGGGAATACTTCCATTTGATATAAAATAAGATATTAATATAAAATAAATATAACAATTTAATATAAAATATCTTAATTTATGTAATCTAAACAAACATATTTCTAAATAAAATGTAATAATAATTATTTTATGGAATTCACAAATCTTCAATTTACGCAATATTTAGTTGGTACGGATTGCACTACAGTTCAGTTGAACATAGTCAATGTTCGGAATGGCTTCTCTAGTACGTAGTACATATAACTCAATGTTTTTAATTATATTGTTCATATTGAGCGTTAATTTATTCATTTTAGTCTCGCACGTCTCCTATCTCATGTGTTATTATCGTAGGCCATAATCGTAGAATTAAATCCATAGCATATATTATGTAAAAGTGAAGTATAGTTTTGAGGTATGTCTGACGAGAAGATGTGTCGTAGCTTCCCGAACGCTGCCCAGCCGAGTTGAATCCGTCGATTTACCTCTCGGTCGAAGTTGGACTTACCTAGTCGGACTATTTGTCCCAGGTAAACATACTCGTCAACAACTTCGAGCTTAGTGCTCCCAACAACTACCGGCATAGGTGTGACATGGACATTAAACATAATCTTTGTTTTGTCCATGTTCATCTTAAGACCTATCCGTTGGGAAACACTATTGAGGTCATTGAGCATAGTGCTTAGGCCCTCCAGCGATTCTGCCATAAGGACTATATCGTCGGCAAATCGAAGGTGAGTGATGTACTCGCCATTGACGTTGATACCGTACCCTTTCCAGTCCAGAAGCTTGAAAACGTCTTCCAATGCAGCGGTGAAGAGTTTCGGGGATATGACGTCACCCTGTCTTACACCTCTCTGCAATTGGATAGGTTTCGTACTCTGGTTCTGTACTCGGATAGCCATCGTAGCCCTACTGTACAAGCACTTCAACACTTCGATATACCGACAGTCAACTTGGCACCGCTGAAGGGACTGCAGCACCGCCCAAATTTCGACGGAATCAAAGGCTTTCTCATAGTCCACATACGCCAGACATAGTGGCAAATTGTACTCTTCGGACTTCTGTACAACTTGCCGAAGGGTATGTATGTGGTCTATGGTGCTAAAGCCCTTTCGGAAACCGGCTTGTTCGGGAGGCTGGAAGTCGTCAAGTCTGCGCGCGAGACGATTCGTAATGACTCTCGAAAACAGCACGTAGACGCGGCTCAGAAGGGAAATCGGTCTGTAGTTCTTCAAGAGAGCGTTGTCACCTTTCTTGAAGAACAAGACCACCGCACTTCTGCTCCACGCCTCCGGTGTAATGCCACCATGGAGGACGGAATTAAAGAGCTTCTGAAGGACTTCAAGTACCGGTCTTCCACCCGCTTTCAGAAGCTCCGCTGTAATTCCATCCTCGCCTGGGGCCTTACCGTTTTTAAGGTGCTGGAGAGCCATTCTAATCTCGCTCAGACTGACGTCCGGGATATCTTCGGAATAGTGTCGGATGAGACTCGCTCTTGGATCGTTACTCACACTTGCGTGTGGCTCCAACGATGACGTGTACAGCTGCCCATAGAACCTCTCAATCTCACTCAAAATCTCAGGTGTCCCGGAAACGATGCTGCCACATTCTGTCTTCAGCTTTGACAGTTGGCTCTCGTCAGACATACCTCAAAACCTTAAAACGAAATTGTACAACCAGTGCGTGTTGCCAGTGATGACTTACGGAACTGAGACGTGGTCCTTCACTGCTGGCCGTATGAGGAAGCTCAAGGTCGCTCAGCGAGCTATGGAGAGGGCTATGCTCGGAGTTTCTCTGCGTGATAAACTTAGGAATGAGGATATCCGCAGTAGAACTAGAATAACCGACATAGCCCAACGAATTAGTAAGCTGAAGTGGCAGTGGGCCGGCCATATAGCTCGAAGAACCGACAACCGATGGGGAAGAAAGGTTCTCGAGTGGCAGCCTCGTACCGGTAGGCGAAGTGTAGGGCGTCCCCCCACGAGATGGAGTGACGACCTGGTAAGACATGCAGGAAGTCGATGGATGCAGGTGGCTCAGGACCGTGCTTTGTGGCATTCTTTGGGGGAGGCCTATGTTCAGCAGTGGACTTGTGAAGGGCTGTAATGATGATGATGATGATGAAGTATAGTTATAGCTTATATTATATATCCCACTGCTGACACAGCTATGTTTTCATTACTAAAAACTAAAAAGATTATATATCAATTACAATGCTTCTCCAATGCTCCAATGCGGACTTCATATATCCACTAAAAATAAAAATAAATGACAATAAAAATAAGGATGACTTCCTTTACCGCTTATAATATGTACATATACGTACACCATAAACTACCTGAGCACGGTGCGCTTGTTCTAAATTTAAAACAAATTGCGAGTACACCGGGTTCGATTGCTGCCTGCACCAATGACATTATTAATTGAAATTTTAAATGCTAAAGCAGGGGGTCACCAAATGACGGACCGCGGTCCTAATCCGGAACGCCGACCTATTTTGTGCGGACCTAGCATAATCTAACAATATCAATATAAAAATTTGTGGTAATTCAATTTTCTTCAGTTTTAAAACACAAAACTTCGGAATAGATTGTTTAGATTAAAAAAATGCCATTTTTCGCCTTAATATCAGGTACTTACTTACTTTCTTATTTTTTAATTAATATTGTGTCTGTAATAAAAAAGTCTGATATTTTTTTGTTTTATCTGTTAATTGTCATTTTAAATCTCGGTTGCTAGTCACACCATATAGCAAACGGACCGCGACAGATTTTTTTTTTTTAACGCTAGTGTTGTCAAAATATTGATTAACCGGTCAGTGCGGATGGCACGACAGGCGTGCCATCGATTACTTTTGTGTGTGGCGTATGACACGCGAGTCGTGTCTTTTTTTAAATCGTGATAACTCGCTCAAATTGGGTTTTTGGAAGATTTATCCAGAACAAATTATTCATTATTTTGCAAGTAGTTCATGCCTACAGCTTCGTTTCTGAATATTTTGAAAATTTGAAATTTTTAGGGGTTGACAACCTTTTTTTAACTTGTACATGGTACTCTTTTTACTTTGTGGGTTTAAAATCATGTTGTGGAAAAATAGTCTAATAAGTAACAAATAATAGCACTCATTGCGATCGCTCACAAACTCAAGTTCTAAATAAATTTCTGGAAAACAAGTCTCCTGTTAAAAAAAAACAATACGTTTGTCTTATTGTTTAATTTTGCTTAAAATGGTTGACTGCCGTCTTATTACTATCATATGGCCGAATAGACCTACGAAGTACCATGTGCCTTGTGATATGGATATGCATAAAAAAAGTTCGCTAATAAATAGTCTTTTGACAATCCGCTACCGTATAGCGCCAGCGTTTTTTTCCTTTTGAAAACACATGTTTTGCTATTCTTACTAATTAGACGTTTTCAAATCGACTTTACTTTTACATTTGTATAACATTAAATAATATTTAACATTTGTAGATATCAATGAATCATTAAACTTATTTTGTCCAAATTAAGGTTCTTGATTGTGTCATATTTACAAATATTATTAGGTGAAAATTTAATTTAATAATAACCAAGGTTTTCCATGGTGATTTAGAAACAAGAAATGGTACAAAAGGTTTGTAATCCCTGCATAAAAAAAGTCACTTACTCTCAATTTCAAAGAAAACGCGTAGAAAAACACGTAGTAGTTACCCACTAAAAACAAGTATTCTTCCGTTTGTAACTGATATTTGATGTCAACTAAACTTAATTAGGTCTAAACAAGTGAAAAAAGCATAGAAAATAACATTACTTTTACACATGGATGATGGCACAATAGGCAATATTTGTTCGCCGCCACAACTAAAAGTTGTGGAAAATCGGTGCCGCAACGAATCGGTTAAGTAATATAAATTTTGGAAACAGGAACCATCTGCTTGATTTTGACGATAAATTTTAATCTTAATTAAATATTTTCATCATTTTAGTATCTAGGTGAAACACGTGAGTTGTTTAAACTTGGTAATTAATTGTGCACCTAAGCAAAATTATACGTGGGTTCTGTGAAAATCAACTCATGCTGAACATATTTCACTGTCTCTAGGCATTGACATGTCTATGCCTTTACACATAGTATTTTTGAATGATAGCTTGAAATGTATAGTATTTTAGTTTTGTTATTAGGTATGCTTAGAAATAGAAACTATATTTATGTAACAGAAAGATATTAAAGCAATTTATAACCTAAACTCACAGCTTTTTACTACGTTCACTTTTACATCTATTGTTGCGAAAATAAACCACAAATTTTCTTATTGATTTTTAAAAGTAGCTATAATTAGATTTTTATAAAACTCTGTAACTTTGATATTACAGCCTATTTAATATATTTATTAATTCTCTTTCGCAGTTATTATCGAAGGCCGAAAACTATCTTACGAATTGGTTGACATGTCCGGCATTAACGTTATCCTGAACTCCCAAGACGTTAGCGAGTACCTAAAGATATCGTGTAATGGCCTAGAAGCACGTTGTGATTCGTATTCCTTCGAGAGTGTTCGATGCACATTCCAAGTGGACCGCGGATGCTGGTATTATGAGGCGATCATTATCACGCCCGGTGTAATGCAGATCGGATGGGCGACGAAGAACAGCCACTTTTTGAATCATGTACGTATAAATGAGTATAATTTCTTATACACTACATCTGTTTTTTTTCGAGTGCATAGACCTCTTCAAACTCGCTCCATCGTAGAACTCATCTTTGCCCTCGGGCAAGAAGTTAAGAGTAAGCCCATTTTTAATTTAAAAAAAAAGTCGTGGAACATTCGGTTAGGACGTAGCTCCTTTTCGTAGTATATTATTATTGACAAACGTATTATATTATTGATTAACAAATACAAATAAATGAATTACTAGCGTCTATTAAAATGAAGCGTCATTTAAAATAAAATAATATTTCTTTCATAGCAAGATAAGAAAAAGTGCGAGGGAGATGGATATTATTCCATCTCGCTTCCTTACAGCCGCCAAGGCCATCTACACTACGTCAGAAGGAGTCGTGAAAAATCTTACACTTTTTGTCGACTAGCCGCCAAATCCGTACCGTCCGGTAAAGAACTTAGTTCCAAAATAATACGCCGCGCAATATATGGCAATAAGCCTTATATAGTTTTGAAGTAGAGCCCGCGAGCCCGATGAATCAATCTACAAACAATTTTCTGTCATCATTTTATGCTAGTGCCGTATAGAGGCGGCATTAGAAAATCAACTACCTCATATCATCCTGTGAGTGTTTGAAGAAGCGGCAGAGGGAAATAGACCTAAAATAATAATAAATGGCGGTTTCCAATCCGCCTGACTTACATGGCAACTGTGACAATATCCTTTCCCTATGAGGCAATCTATGGGGAGTCTTATGTTCAGCAGTGCACTTTTGATGGGCTGTAACATGAATAAATGAACATGCTAAGCGTTAGGTGACTAAGACAGAAATATTTTGTTAAGTTATTTGAGAATCCAAATTATTTATAATATTTTTTTTTATTTAAAAAGTGAACAAATTCATGCCTTCATTAATGCTAGATTAGGTACTGGCCTCTTCTTAATCCTGAAATGATTAAGGAGTATGAAAAGTCCACCGTGCTATTCCGGTGGGATTTGACGCACTTTACATGTCTGTGAAACATTTTCTGATTCAGCTAGGGTTTTTTTATACGTGGTAGAGCCACGTTACAGCTATATTATAGTTGTAGCACGAACAGGTCGGCTTGATCGAGCAAGGCCACGCTCACAGAATACCAGCGTAAAATAGCAACTTAATGCTGTTGTGTTTTGTATGGTAAGTGTAGAGAACAGGAGACCCATTTCACTGGGAACGAGGCATTCAATCTAAGTTTTCAGGGGTGACAACGCATCTGCATTTTGGTTCCTAATCGAGAATAGATGAAGATGTCTATTGGTCATAGATTCACATACCTTTAGGTAGACTGTTTGCTCGTTAATCACCCTTATTCTTTTTAACGTGAAATAATGAGACCAAAATCTTTTCAACAGGAGGGCTACGGCATTGGAGATGACCTGTTCTCTCTGTCGTATGACGGATGCCGTAGGCTTATGTGGTACAAAGCCAAGCCAACGCCTATGAATGATATACCCGCATGGCAGCCGGGAGACGTGCTTGGCTGTCTCATCGACATCCCTAAAAGGGAGGTCGTATTCTCCCTTAACGGCCTGGAGCTGCGGCCCTGTAACGAAATATTTGATACAACACGGTGAGTTGAAATTTCTCATTTCTATGTCTTCTTGACAAACTTGTTTACTTTACAAAAATTGTAGATTAAGATCATTTACTCTTTCTTGCTTGCTTGGCGTATTTTATAAAAAAGGGTCAAGTAGAATCTAGGTGTATTAAAAATAACTTTATGGAATAGCTGGTAATCTACCAATCAAATTATAACTAATAGTTTATTGGATAAAATAAACACTTATACAGTATATTTATTTAAACTTATACAGTATGTTTATTACCCAGTTTCTTTAGATTACTGGTTAGGTCTTCTAGGGATTTATTTGAATTATGTCTCGGGGAAGAAAGAGAACCTAACCTAGGTTCTTTTTCGTCTTGTCGTGAAATGATTCGAGGGACTAGGCCGCCTGGGTTTCAAGTATTCAAATACTTATTCGCTCACTAAGTGTAAGTATAAATAAAAATTACAATTAGTATTTATAACTTTAGTAACAGTTTAGTAAACTGGCGCTGCAAAAAACGTTTAGCAGGTGAAAATTAAATAATTAACTAAAATTGCACATGTTATTATTACCACAATAAAATAATTTAGATAGATATTAAACAAGGTTATATTACATTCAAAATTATTGTGAGTTCCATGTTAAGATTTTCATTACCAAGTTTTTCCCTGTAAAAAAGAATATAGATGCATTTAGATAGAACTCGGTATACAATAGTTCGTAATATAACTAATTATAGTAATTTCACTGATGTTCGTATCTTGACAACAGAGTCATTGAATAATTCTCCGATTGTCGCACACAGAATTAAACACAATGTTAATACGTGTTTAAAAGGATTTAGATTTGAAAAAGTGTTACCGCATAATATTGTAAAATACTTCAAAACCATTGATATAAAGAAAACCGCAGATTTGTGGGAGATTTCCTTTACAGTAATTGCGTCCATAATAGATTTAACCGGTTCAGTGCGGATGGCACGCCTGGCGTACTTTTGTGTGGCGTATGACACGCGAGTCGTGTCTTTTTAAAAATCGTTATAACTCGCTCAAATTACGTTTTTGGAAAATTTATCCACAACGAAATATTCATTATTTTGCAAGTAGTTTATGCCTATAGCTTCGTTTCTAGATATTTTGAAAATTTTAAATTTTTAAGGGTTGACATCATTTTTTTTTAAATTGTACATGGTACTCTTTTTACTTTGTAGTTTTTAATGTTTAAATGTTGTAGAAAAATAGTCTAATAAGTATTGAGTTATATGTACTACGTACTAGAGAAGCCATTTCAAACAAAAACTGTGTCCTACTCTGTTATCGCGCATGCGCGGGTTGTAGTAGTTGAGTTTTGGCGGGAACTTGACCGGCGACGGATCGCTGCTCCTGTATTATTGTTTAAATAATGGTTTGAAGTGGATTTTGATATGTAAAAGTGGTGCGATATTGTGTATTAAATGTCTACGCATGTGAACTATTTGTGGAAACGGTGAAACAAGTGCTCTGATGTTGATGTGATTCTCAAGATAAGTTGTCTATCTGCATAGACGCCTTGAGATACCATCGCCAACTGTCAGCTGTCTGCTGGCTCAAGTTGCCGTCAAAATCTCCCAAGGGCTGCACAATGTGACGCATCAACATATTGTGAAGCAGTGTACTATGAAGGATAATTATACATTGTAACTTCAGGCTCAGAAGAGCTAGAACCCAGAGCCGTAAAACTAGTTATTAAGAAGAATAAGAAGCGGGAGTAGTAGTCGCGCATTCGCGAAGACTTTAATTTGATATAAAATAAGATATTAATATAAAATAGATATAAGAATTTAATATAAAATATCTTAATTTCATCTAAACAAACATGTTATATTTCTAAATAAAATGTAATAATTATTATTTTATGGAATTCACAAATCTTCAATTTACGCAATATTTAGTTTGTACGGATTGCACTACAGTTCAGTTGGACATTCAATGTTCGGAATGGCTTCTCTAGTACGTAGTACATATAACTGAATGCTAATAAGTAACAAATAATAGCACTCATTGCGATCGCTCACAAATTCAAGTTGTAAATAAATTTCTGGAAAACAAGTCTCCTGTTAAAAAAAAACAATGCGTTTGTCTTATTGTTTAATTTTGCTTAAAATGGTTGAACTGCCGTCTTATGACTATCATATGGCCGATTAGACCTACGAAGTACCATGTGCTCTTGTGATATGGTATAAGGTTTATTTTTGTTTGAAACTGTTCGAAATCGATCATGCATAAAAAAAGTTCGCAAATAAATAGTCTTTTGTCAATCCGCCGCCGTATAGCGCCGGCGTTTTTTTTCCTTTTCAAAACGCTCATTCTGCTATTATTATTATACTATTGCTATTCTTACTAAGTAGACGTTTTCAGATCGACTTTACTTTTACATTTGTATAACATTAAATAATATTTAACATTTGTAAATATCAATAAATATTTTTTCCAAATTAAGGTTCTTGATTGTTTGATATTTGCAAATTTTATTCATTTTTTTTTCATTACAGGCCTTCACAAGTCCACTGCTGAACATAGGCCTCCCCCAAGGAATGCCACAAAGCACGGTCCTGAGCCACCTGCATCCATCGACTTCCTGCATATCTTACCAGGTCGTCACTCCATCTAGTGGGGGGACGCCCTATACTTCGTCCGCCGGTACGAGGCTGCCACTCGAGAACCTTTTTTGCCCAACGGTTGTCGGTTCTTCGAGCTATATGGCCGGCCCATTGCCACTTCAGCTTTCTAATCCGTTGGGCTATGTCGGTCACTCTGGTTCTACTGCGGATATCCTCATTTCTAAGTTTATCACGCAGAGAAACTCCGAGCATAGCCCTCTCCATAGCTCGCTGAGCGACCTTGAGCTTCCTCATCCGGCCAGCAGTGAAGGACCACGTCTCAGTTCCATATGTCATCACTGGCAACACGCACTGGTTGTACAGTCTTGTTTTCAAGTTTTGAGGTATACCTGACGAGAAGATGTGCCGTAATTTCCCGAACGCTGCCCAACCGAGTTGAATCCGTCGATTGACCTCTCGGTCGAAGTTGGACTTACCTAGTCGGACTATTTGTCCCAGCTAAACATACTCGTCTACAACTTCGAGCTTAGTGCTCCCAACAACTACCGGCATAGGTGTGACATGGACATTAAACATGATCTTTGTTTTGTCCATGTTCATCTTAAGACCTATCCGTTGGGAAACACTATTGAGGTCATTGAGCATAGTGCTTAGGTCCTCCAGCGATTATGCCATAAGGACTATATCGTCGGCAAATCGAAGGTGAGTGATGTACTCGCCATTGATGTTGATACCGTATCCTTTCCAGTCCAGAAGCTTGAAAACGTCTTCCAATGCAGCGGTGAAGAGTTTCGGGGATATCACGTCACCCTGTCTTACACCTCTCTGCAATTGCCCTGCCCGCCTGGTTCCGCTCGATCGCTTCTTTAATACGAGCAGTATTAAAGATGCGTAAGTCCCGCCGCATGCATTTGGAGATCTGTTTGTTCAGTTGCCTGTATGCCGTCAAATCTACTGAAGACTGCAGCTTCATGTCCCGTCTAACAGCCATGAGATTAAGAGTGTGATCGGAGAGTTTTTGTGTTCTTCTGCGGCGGGTCTTGCAAAACTTAGCTCCGACCGCATGGACAGTTTCCACGAGCTTGTCATTCATATCGTCCACTGCATTGCAATCTTCTAGACACTGAAAACGGTTTTCTAGCTCGAGCTGAAAGGTTTCGGGACTTTGGATTAGAGCACGAGAGGGACGGAGCGTTGACTTCATTAGACGTGACCTCTCCAACTTAACGTTTAGGTTCAGTGAAAAACATTCGAAAACCAATGTGCTCTTAAATGGGGAGAAGTTGAGTCTTGTGGATACCACTGTTTTTCTCGGTATTACTATTGACGCGAAACTTCAATGGGGCCCCCATATATCTAAATTAGCAAGCAGACTTAGTTCTGCAGCATATGCTGTAAGAAAGATTAGAAGTCTCACAGATGTTGAGACAGCTAGGTTAGTGTATTTTAGTTACTTTCATAGCGTAATGTCTTATGGAATTTTGCTATGGGGTAATGCGACTGATATTGAAGCTATATTTGTTTTGCAAAAGAGAGCCGTACGGGCGATTTATAATCTAAATTGTAAAGAGTCCCTTAGAGAAAAATTTAAAGAAATAAACATATTAACTTTGGCATCGCAATATATTTATGAAAATGTAATGTATGTACATAAAAACATAAATAGCTTTAATAAGAATAAGGATGTTCATACCTTAAACACTAGGAACAAACATAAGCTTGTAATGCCACTTACAAGACTCCACAGAATTAGTAATTCATTTATGGGGCAATGTATACGCTTTTACAACAGAATCCCACAACATGTTCAAAGTTTGTCAATAAACAAGTTTAAAAGTTTTATTAAAGAAAAATTGTACAAAAAGGGTTATTATAATATCAAGGAATACATGAATGAAAATAACCCCTGGGAATAAGGTGATCGCCACCATGCTGGTTCTATGAAAATTCATTTAAAATTGTATAAACAAAATTATTGTTAAGTGAAATTATGTTTAAAAAAAAAGTCCCGCTGGGTTTCTTGCTGGTTCTTCCCAGGACAGAGGTATTTTCCGAACCAGTGGTAAATAAAATAATGACTTTCAATAAGTATTATGTAATAATCCATATTGAATAAAAATCATTCTATTCTATTCTATTCTATTCTATTCTAGTGTGCCTCTCACCATTCGGTGATCGCTGCCGGTTTTCACCCTCGCGATCACTGAGACATTACTGAACAGTTGTCGTCTGGTCGTCATAATGAAGTCAATCTCATTTTTTTCGAACCGTCGGGGCTCGACCAGGTCCACTTCCTGTGGGGCCGCTTCTGGAAGAAAGAGTTCATCATAAAGAGTCCCTCTTTCTCCATGAAGTCAACCAGCTGCTGGCGCCTTGGGTTCCGTTGCCCTATTCCGAAATTCCTTACTTTCAGCTCACCATTCTCTCTTGTGCCTAGTTTTGCGTTGAAGTCTCCCATTAAAACCGTATAGTGGGTTTTGGAGGAATGCATGGCTCTAAAGATATCCTCATACATTTCCTCCACCTCCTCATCGGGATGTGCTGAGGTTGGTGCGTAAACCTGTATAACCTTCAGCGAATACCGTTTGGTGATTCTGAGTATAAGCTACGCAACCCTCGTCGACACACTCCCAATCTTTACAACGTTGTTAACGAGAGACTTGTGGACGATAAATCCGACACCTCCTTGGGACAGATGGTCGCCCTCCCGGTGATCGAACAAATTGCCGGATTCGAGGATTACCGTGTCGTCCCCCTCTCTTCGGACTTCGGATAATCCTATGACATTCCAGCGCAACTTGTCTATCTCTTCTTCTAGCTCCAGGATCTTCTCGTCAGTCCTCAGGGTGCGTGCGTTATAAGTTGCCAGGTCGAGTCGTCGTAGGTGGCAACCGAACCTCCACCGGAGATTCTTAGCACCCCCTGCCCCGCCGTTACCACGGTCGCCACCATAGCCAGGAATAGCGGGGCCGCCGGGGACTGGGGGCCGTCTCTTAGCAACTTTATTCATTTGGGGGGTGTATTGCCATAGTTGCCACGCTTGGCGAGCGGGTTGGCAACCGTTGTTTTTTATTGTTGTTTTGCTGTTATCACAAAGATGCTGCTGCCCATCTTCTGTCTCTGGTTCCCTCTGTCGCCTTTTACGACACCCACGGGAAGATATGGGGTAGTGAGTATTCTTACCCGCCACTACACGGGAATGTTACGGGCAAATGTTATTATTAGGTGAAAATTTAATTTAATGAAAACCAAGGTTTACCAAGTTGATTTAGCTGTACCTACTTATATAAATGATTATGGTGATGATGGCTTTTATAACGAAATCCCCGAACATGTTCAAAGTTTGTCAATAAACAAGTTTAAAATTTTTATTAAAGAAAAACTGTACAAAAAGGGTTATTATAATATCAAGGAATACATGAATGAAAATAACCCCTGGGAATAAGGTGATCGCCACCATACTGGTTCTATGAAGATTCATTTAAAATTGTATAAAGAAAATTGAAATTATATTTAAAAAAAGAGTTCCGCTGGGTTTCTTGCTGGTTCTTCCCAGGACAGAGGTATTTTCCGAACCAGTGGTAAATAAAAAAATGATTTCAATAAGTATTATGTAATAATCAATATTGAATAAAAATCATTCTATTCTATTGTAATACCACTGTGATCTTGTTTATGTAATTTGAACAGCCAGCTACTATTTAATATATGATGTCTTCCACATGGGTAAAGCCGTATTATAAGCTAGTTAAACATAAAATAAAAAACTCAAGTGACTGACAGCTCAAATTGATGGCACAAGAAACTTAAAATTTCGAACAGGGGTACTACATAGACTTTATTACTAGACTTTTAAACGTGTAGTTGGCATATTTTTGTCAACTTCTAAGGTGCTGAAAGGTGTTCGTCGAATTTGGAATAGAGAAAATTTGCAGTGCTGTATAAACCTGGATCGTTGGATTAAAAGCTTTCAAATAAGTAAACAAGGAGTTGATCATTTTGGAAAAGTTAACTCATAAGGAAATGAAAAAGGGTGCCAAATTACACAAGTATAGGACCCCGATATTTTAATATTTCTAACTTTGTCACGCCTAAATCCTTTTTTTTAAGTGCCAAAGTTTTTTTTAAGTTGTTTTTAAGTTTACTGTAAAAGTAAAGAGATACAAACTATTTGGCTCAAAATTTCGGCAAAAATGTCATTATATTGAAAACTTTCATAGGTTTACCACGCTTTTTATATTTTTAATGGACAAATCCCATTCAGATATATTTTATTACATAATATGTACATAGCGAATACCGAACCATGCTAGAATTCTATTTTGTTCTTTAAGTGGCTCAAATAGCCTCGTGGTTGTGGTCTTTTGGAAATCACTGTGGGTGCCGTATACGTTTTTGTTGAATTCTGTAGAATATAATGAATTGCGTCGAATTTGGAGGCAAACATACAAATGAAATATTAAGTTCTTCATAAATCTTCAATATTGTCTCTGAGAAATGGAACGACAAGTTATCTTCAATAATAACTTCGTGATTGGTACATATACATGGTTTTATCAGATCCTCCTAACCATGAAGTCCCACAACTGGTCAGCCTTATAAACAACTGTACACAGGCAACATGGTTCCATCTGTAGTTCCGAAAAACATAAGACTAATTGCTGATTTGGAATTATTGATGACCCGCTCTGGATACTTGGTTCCCCTTTTGTATACGTATTTTTTGTTGCCGGGATCGTTGGTGAGGTTAGTTTTCATCATAATTTCATCAGGTTTCATCATAATTTATGCAATCGGGACTAAGATCTTATTTAATTTTACCAGTAATCTTACAACTTTTTGTCTTGATTCAATGAGGGTATCCACGACTTTTCTGCCACCAGGGCGGCGCCACTAGAATGTGAGGTATAATATTTGACAGATTTCATAGCGGGGAAGTTTATTTGTTCGGAACCGTTTATTTCGTGCTATTAATGGCACAGCTTGTGTGTGAAAGATGTGCGTCTCATGTACGCCACATGAGACGCACATCTTTCATTCGACCAATGAGTGGAATAGGAAGGGAGGAGTGCGGGGTGTGTGTTGAGTGTAATTCAGTGTTTAGGCAGCGTTTATTTTTATAAACATACATTTATCACATAGTTTATAGACTTACTTACTTGCAATAATTATTTATAGGCATACAACAATACTTTACAGACATACAACAATTATATTATAGACATACAACAATTCTTTAAATAAACAACAATAAAACATTAATAAACTTACGTACTAGACAATCATACGACTTACATGACTAAAACTTAAATAACTACATAGATCGGATTAAAGGCTATTATTTACATCAATAATCTCTTAAATCTAAGCTGTTATTTACAGTATCTGTAAAGCGCAATGTAATATGCAAGCCAATAATAACTCATTTTACGCATTTCTCTAACTCGTATAATAAATTTCTATTTTATTCGCCTATATAGTATTATTCTTATGTCCAGCTATGGTTTCTTTGCGGCGGCCAGCTTCATGGCATTCCAGCAATGTCGGTTCAACTTCGGACACGAACCTTTCAAGTATCCACCGACGGACCGACCTTTCTCCACCTTCAACGAGCACGGACAGCTCACGGACGAGCAGAAAAAGGTAACTTACTAATTGTATTGTTTTACATTTCTCATTTTTAAACTTATATTTAAAAAAAAATAGAAACACACTGGATAAATATATTAAAGTTGGTAAAAATTACTTTGCGTACATCCGCCCGATAAAATAAAATGATGTGCCTTACCTAGTTTGAAGAGCACCTCCCGCCCTCTCTCAATTGCGTGCGTTTAACAGTGGTAGAGCCACGCGGCAGCTTTTGCTGTCGCATGGATGGGCCGGCTCGAACCGGGGTGGTACCACGACCTCACAGAAAACCAGCGTGAAGTAGAGGTTCACCTCTGCGTTTCGCTTGGTGAGTGCAGGTGGCCGGAGGCCCTTTTTACTGGAAATGAGGCATTCCATCTTAGTCCTCACGGGTGACAACGCATCTACATTTTGATTTGTAATAGAGAATTGATGTAGACGTCTATGCCGCAGCAACCACTTACCATCAGGTGGACTATGTGCTCGTTTGTCACCCTTATCCTATAAAAAAAAAACTATCCCCGTCACCACTATGCTAGGAAAGACACACCACTTACGACAATACGAAACGTGTTTCGCCTCTACACGAGGCATCTTCAGGTGATGTAGAGTGCGATGGCTGACCGCTAAGTGAGCGGCGAGCCAAAACAACTGCTATTTATACAGCCCGCTGACGCAACCGCTTCTTACTTAAGTAGCGAGCGACTGCGTCATGCGATAAAACATGCGACCAATCACAGCCTGGCGCACGCAGCCGTTTGTAAAATTAAAGTTTTTAATCACCTGAAGATGACGAAACACGTGTCGTATTGTCGTAAGTGGTGTGTCTCTCTTAGTGTAGTGGTGTTGGGAGTAGTGGTGCTGGGATTAGTGGTGACGGTGATAGTGCACACAATTGAGGGAGGGCGGGAGGTGCTCTTCAAACTATGTAAGACACATCATTTTATTTTATCGAGCGAATATACGCAAGGTAATTTTTACCAACTTTAATATAATGGATTTCCGCAAAGTAACGCCTGATTCTATTATCTAGATAAATATTTAAATTAACAAGCACTGCCTTTTTGTGTGCTAAGTACTTTAACATTAATAAAATGTTATAATCATTCCCGATTATCACCACATATCTTTAGTATTACGTGGATGAATGGGGGTGAAAAATTGATCGAATTGGTTGACCGATCATCGGTCTCATTTCTGGGAACAATCTATTTCTAAGGATTTTCACGAACAAAGCAACAAGGTAGTCTTGCCCAAAGAGAATATAATCACTACGTTTAGTCTTGCCCGCGAAATTAAATTGCTAATTTTGCAAATATTTTCCTTAACACCATAGGTATAATACAAGAAGGAGATATGCCCGGTATTTGAAAATGTATCGGAACCCGGTGTCTCCAGTTGGCCCCTACCACCCGCCTACTACTACACTTGCAAATCAGTAAACGCAATAGATAGGCAGTCGCGCACAAACCCAGGTTCGATCCCCGCCAGCACCAATGAAATTGTTAATCGCAATTTTAAGTCCTGATTTACCACGTGCTCGGCACTTTAGCATACTGAAAGGCACTGTAAATTAATTTTAATCATTGGCACCATTGGAGGTCTTAAAAAGTTATACCCAGATCTTTCTAAGCTCCATCTTATTGTTATAAGACTTATTTTGAACAAATCTTCAAAAATTTTCCTTAGATCTTCATCTTAAAGCGGTTTCGTTGATCTGCCATGTTTTTTTCTTTTTTCGTATAGATTTTTGACTTTTTAGTAAAATCTTTCGTGTTTTCTCGATATTTTGTAGAAATAGAACTTTATTTCGGTTTTTTATATTAAACATTTAAAGAGTATTAATATGTCAGAGTTTTTGGCTTCGTTCGTCTTGTTGTTTGTAAGTATGTTTCTATATTTGGCTGACTAATTCAATTCTGCATTTTCTATTTGTGTCCAATTTGTCCATTATTTTTTAGCTCCGCTGCTTTCGAATCTTCACTTGTTATTTTGTGCTAACAAAATAACGGCGTTGTTTACCTGCTTTTTGCTTTTTGATACGTATTTGCAATGGAAAAAAACTCTATAAATATTTTTAGGGCTTTCTTAAAGATTTTTTTGTTTCGACATTCACGATCACCCATTCACCTCCAACTAATTCTAAATTTGCTGCCTAGTTGATGAAAAACATAAGGGTTAGTTTTCCTTCTGATACTCAACAATAATCTCTGCAGGTTGTTTACACTCTGGTACTGATAAACCATTATTAATTGAAAGGATACAAGGCAAATTTGATACAGGTATTTCTGATTCAGTCGTTATTAGTCGTTATTTTTAAAATATTTGGTAATTTGGCGTAATAGCACGGAACGGTGATCATCTAAAATGGCTTGCTGTGATTTCAAAGGCAGCGGACACTTTGTTTAATTCAGTTTGTCTGGACTAAATGGGCACAACCCACATGTCTCAAAACTATTTCATAATGTAGATTTATTTCAATACGGTAAAAGTCTTGCTAATATAGGCCCGCATCTGTTTTAATAACTTTTTTGTCAAATTGTTTGTCCGTCATTCGAAGACACATATCTTTGGTGGGTCGAAATGCAGTGATATCAGCTGGTTGCAATAGTCGCGTTGCATTCAGGTTAAGGGCTATAAGTATTAAGGCGAGACTTGGGCATAGTTGCGCCGTAATTAAGATAGTAAATAACCCTCTCTCTAAGCACTAACTTTTGAACGTCTGATCACATTTTCTATAGGGGGAAAATAATATGTTTTACCGTCTATACCAAAGAACAGTGATGCAAGACTTCGATTAGGCATGATCCACCTCATAGACGTTTTATTCTCCCTTTATAAAACGGTTTAGTTTGTATGGGATATTTATTTAAAAACCTCACTTCATTGACATTTTTAGGACATCGAAAACTGTGCCAGGACCAGGCCCGTTTTTCAGCTTCTTAGTTTTTTTGACTTTACTTATTTACTGGGAACTGTAAATTCGCGCGTGGAATGTTAAATGTTAGTGCGGCAGTTATTTTTCTAAATCGCCCGCTCTTAATAGCGGTATTCTTCATAAATTCAAAATATGAAAAAGGTCAGTCATAATCATTGGCACTACTCAAAGGATATAGTCATTGGCAGTGTCAAGAATAGATTTTGGACAAAAGAAAGAAAATATAGTGATTGACATATATGCCAATGATTATGTAGTCAAAGAAAGTAAAGTATAGTCATTGGCACAATTAAAAAAAAACCAATGCTTCTATTTCACAACGATAAAATGCTTTAATGACGTAAATTGATAAAAATAGACAGAAACTTGCATATAAACTTATCTAAAAATCACATTTTGTCTCAAAATCTAGCTACAAAACCTTAACTTTTTGTTAAAATTTAACGGATTTGTCCACACACATTTTTAAAACAGCCCTTATAGGAAAATAGTTGACATAGCAAAGTGCTTGAAGGAGTGCCAACATTAGTACTGTTTACCCTACTTATGTAATTGTGTTGGTCACTGGTTCCTCCTAAACACCTGGACCGATTTTGATGATTTTTTTTGTGTTTTAATGGTTTAAATTTACAATTGGACCCGGTAAATGGCTCTGTTGTCAAAATACAAAAATCAACAGTGCGAAGCCGGTGCGTATAATAGTACACTATTATTTATTACTAGCTGTAATGTTTGCATCGGTGCTTGTAGGTTGTTCCAAGGAGGATATACTTAGAACAATTGAGGTGTTCCAGCGTGAAGGAAGATTCTTGCACGCTTTGCTTTGACGACACAGCTTGCTGTATCCTGGAACCATGTGGACACCGGTAAGCTAATTTTTTTTGTAGAATAGGATAACGTAATAACATCAACAAACCAATTTTGATACTGCATAAAATCTTTATAACTTTTTTAATTGGCTAACCTTTAGACATTTAAATAGGAAAATAATTGTTTGTTATTAATTACACCTTAAATTATTTTACTTTTATATTATATAACATGATATGCATCAACACATCTTAACATAAAGTTAAAGTCTAATATATATCCATACAAAATACATTTAAATGTATAGATAAACACATAAACATATACATATTTCATATATCATATGAATACCGGTAACCGATTAATAAGAAACCAAGACATACGAAACTAGAACGAGACCTGAGTAGTGTCTGGAAGAAACTTAGTGACCGCCTTGTTAAAATAAATTATGGGCGGAGCCATTCTTATAGAAGTTGAGAGACTGCGAAAGAATTCAATCATAATTTATAGGTAGGAAGGTTTGCCGATGAACACCCTCCCCTTTCCGCCAACCGCGCAGCGCTAAAAACCCTTGCAACACTTCAGTATACGCTTATACGTTTGACACTATCGGCAAACTTTATACGCGCGTATTTTACCTAGTTATCGAGAATGCCACACACATTGGAGTAAAAATATGTTCAAAATACTAATTATCGGGACGTGGCCCTTCACTGCTGGCCGTATGAGGAAGAACAGCGTCACTCAGCGAGCTGTGGAGAGGGCTGCCCTCGGAGTTTCTTTGCGTGTTAGACTTCGTAATGAATATATCCGCAGTAGAACTAGAGTAACCGACATAGTCCTACAGATCAGTAAGCTGAATTGGCAAATGTTAAATAGTTACAGGTAAATAATAGGTGGGCTATACAAAAATGTACCTTTTGAAAAAAAATCGCGGTCAACTTTAGTGTTTGTAAGAGTATTTTTTTTTTATAGAATTTTATTTGTTGCATTAAAATGAAGACGTCAAAAAATATAGTTGCAAATGGAATTCACAAATCTTCAAGTTACGCAATATTTTGGTTTATAAAACTTTCAATCTTTTTTTGCTCTATACATAACTTAAATGTCCCAGAGCTATCCGCCGATAATGGTGTAATTTTTTTTTTAATTACGCCTCTATTGTTATTCCTTTTAACCTTCATTGTTGGAATAGCATTTAATTTATAGTATTTTGTCTGAAATTCTCGCAAAATCTTACAATTTCTTGCGAAATCACAATTCACAAATTAAAAAACAAGTGTCCCTCATAATTTTCTAGTGCGTTACAAGTAATGTATTATACGGTAACTTTGGTAGTTTAGTGCTAATTGTTTTGTAGAGTGGCAAAACTTTATAACAACATTTGTCAAGTGTCAATTTAATGTCAGCCATTTTAGTTTAGCCTAAAAGTAAGGGTATTTGCAGTGTCCCTTTTGTTCATCGAAAATATTGGATATTAAACACAGAATTTTCAATGTATGTGTTTATCTTTCATTATTTGAAGCATAGATACTAAAAAAAAATATCTGTTGATGTTATGTTTTATGGATTTCTTCCTAAAATATCTTTGAATTTGCGGCTACCTTAATCATATAAACACAAGAATCTTTCCGCTTGTTCGGTCTGGTGTGTTATGTTGTGTTACATGGTGTGTTACATAACATACATAACTAGTATTAAGCTTAGTTTACATTACCTTTAACCGACTACGGTAGAGCCCAGAAGCGGGTATAAAATGTTTGCTTGAATGTGTATAAACGTGTATATTTTTATGTAATTATAACCGCGTCTTCTCTTCTGTTGCCATAGAAGCACCCCAAATAAATCCTAAGATACTCTAAAAAAACTACAAAGATCTAAAAAGAGAAACTAACAATTACTTGATTTAATACAACATAAAATGATTTTATAGAAAAGTTACCACTGAAACCAATTTATAATAATGAGCAAGAAAAACGTTCTCCATGCACTAGAGCAGACTTGTTTATAGAAGAAAATTGGCTAAAAATTTTCCTTGAGGAACCTTTGAACACTATAATAAAAATTAGAAAAAAAAAAGTGCTCAAGAATATAGTTCCTAGTGATGTCACAAAAAAACCTTAGTCTCGTCATATTCTCTATTTTAATATAACTTTAAAATTTCTAACTTTAATTTGGAAACAAAGTTCCTCTTTAGGTTTAATAATTACGTTAAATACGTTACAATTTGAGTGATGTTTATTTCCATTTGGGTGTGAGTCACAACAAAAACAACTAAGAATTAATGCCAATATTTATAATAATGTTATTTGTATTCGTAAATATGGTAAGATTTTTAATAAGTTCTAGTACAATATAGTCCTGCCTTTACAAAGTTCTAGCGTGTTTACATAGTTTCCAGTGTGTTGCTTACGATTTTGTTTGTTACTTTTTCTAGATCGTTATGGTACTAATTTTGTGAGCCCTACCCTAATATATTCCACTCCCCCTACTGGCCTCTTCTCATTTCTGAGAGGCTATTAGGCAAGGAAGTGTGCTTGCCTAAAGGAACACTTCACATGTCTTCAAATATTTTTTTTGTTATACTTCTTTTGGGGCGTTTAGGAAAAATGATGAGAGTGAATTTTTACGATGCGCGCTCACACCGACACTTAAAAACGACACCATGAAGTTGTTACGATACGCGCGCACACATTGACACCTAAAACGACAACTTCAGTGAGTAATTGTCTCTCAAATTTTTTTGTTTTGTTACGCTAAAGAAGTATACTCTTACGTGCGTACATAAGTACACACTTTTTTTAAATTTCTTAGACACGCAGTTTTTTTTCGGGGTTTTTTTATTCACCGCTGAGCACGTGCTAAATCAATACTGAACATGGCAATAAACTACTTCATTTGCGCTAGCGTGAATGGAACCCGAGTGCTCGCGATTTGCGGCGAGTGCCTAAGCCCTGAGCTACCACGACTAGTGGAAGTCGTAATTGATCAGTCCTGTAACTTGAAGAACCCACAACCAATGGGGCGGAAAGGTTCTGGAAGTAGATGGCGACCACCCACTAGATTGAGTGACGACCTGGTAAAATATGTAGGAAGGCCGAGGGCCAGGGGGCCTTACTTTGTCGCATTCATTGGGGGAGGCCGGATTATTGTTGGCGGTGGACTTGTGTTGGATTGTAATGATGACGATGATAGTGACTAATTGATGGTTTTGCGTTATAATGATATTAAATCTGTGAAGGTGTATTTAACGCTGTTTAATATGCCACCTCAAATCATGAAGTTTTACTTAGATCTTTGGACTAATAAATAATCTCATGTGTAATAAAATATATACAAATCATTGAACTGTTCATTGCAGAGGCTTCTGCTCGGTGTGCACTTCTCAGCTAAAGGAATGTCCAATGTGCAGAGCGGAGATATTGAATATACGTAGAGAGGACACATGACAGAGGTCGAAGTTTCGCCTCGTTATGCATGGGCTCAGCCCTTGCAACGAAACCGACGAGCGCCTGTCCATCGACGACGACGACACTGACTAAATCATTATCAACAAGTAATCTTTCGACAACTCTTACTTGATGCTGGCTTCTTTTCTAGAATTATATTTTTAAAGCTGTCAAATGGTTGTTAAGGACAGAGACTACTATTTATTTTCAAATACTATCGTAAGAATACTTAGAATGATTTGTTTCGAGTAAAGTTCTTTTTATTTTACGTTCTTAAATAAAAATAAAATTTGTAAAAACTATGCTAATTAAATCAATATTATTGCTTTTTTTTTCAAATTATGCTCAAATTGCATTAGTTAATAGATTATAAAATCTTCAACATTGAGTTACAACTGATATGTACGTAGTTATAAATAGTTCTTTTAATGTTAATCGCGTAGCATTATTTCCATTTAATGGGAAAGTTGTGATGCCGTTCTGTTTTCAACACCGAGCGACTCCTATAATCATCGAATTCTGTTTCGTATATTATGTGCTTATTGAAATATCACTTGACATCATTCTAATTTATGTCTATAAATTATATATTTTCGCACACTTGTTTCTTCTACATATCTCGTCATATATGTACATGACAAGAAACAAGTGTACGGAATTCTTGCTTGGACAAATAATACTATTAAAAACAAATATTAAAAAAAAAATATATCGTGTGTAAAAAATGTGTAATTACTGAATATTACAATACACTAAATTATGAATGTATGTAGAACTGTAAGTAAATCTTCTTTAAAGTTAGAATGTTTTGTTATAGATCAACTGCTTGTAGAAAATGTGAGTTTTCGTGAAGTTTTATGTTAACTTTTTAAAACTTCATAAATGTAACGCATCTGAAACAAAACACAAGCTCACATATATATATTTCTTCAGAGACACTCCTTTGCGCTAAAATATGAAAAATAAGTATATATTATTGGTCTAAAAACTTCATCCGCCCATTAAACAGACATTCCTTTTTCAACCGAATTCAAAAAAGGAGGAGGCTCAATTCGTCGGAAACTTTTTTTTATGTATGTTTATCGATTGCTCGTAGACGCCTGAACCGATTTAGAAAATTCTTTGTTTTGTTTTTTGTTTCAAAGGGTGTACTTTCCAGGTGGTCCCATTTAAATTTGATTGAAGTCGGTCGAGCAGTTTAAAAAAAAACAACATTAAATTATATTCATATTAAAGTCGGTTGTACAAACTTTTTAATTTTACCACTTGTTATCTATTACTAGCGTTCCGCCGCGGGTACGCACGGGTGATTTCTAGATCTCGACAACTGCGCCACCTACTGAGTCCAAATGTGAATCTAAACCATCTAGGGACACATTCAAACACAGAAATTTCATCAAATTCGGTCGAGCTATTTTTGAGTTTTAGCGAGACTAACGGACAGAAATTGATTTTTATATATAGAGGTAAGCTAGGCTTGACTATTATCCAACCTGATTATAAGTGGCGATGTAGCCAGAGATGGAAAAGCACACTGACTTAACAAATGCCCATTCACCCTTGCCTTGATAATATTGTAATCGGATGGAACGATAGATGCTGGCAAATTATTTACTTCCTTTGCTGTTCGCATTATTACGAATGTATAAACGTATGACGTAACAAACGGTTAGGTTCGGCAGCACGTTATGTCGATAACAGAGCGGTGAAGACCAGCCGAGCGTCTGGAAGTCCGACGATGGAACGAAGTGAGGGGAACTAGGTTATGCAGTTCCTGCGCACATTTTCCGAAATGTATCCTGCAAAACAAAGAAATTCTGGCTACTTTGCGGCTTTACTCGAAACTGGTAATATTGGTTTTAACTTTATGTCACCCGTAAACTACTGATTACGCCATTCCATTGAATTCAGTCGTGCAAGAAATGTTGCTGCCATGCAGAGGTTAGTGCTGCAAAATGCCACCTAGCAGATTTGGACTTACGCTTTATTTTGTGTAAGAAACTGAAGTATCGCCGCATATTTGCAGGGACACAACCATCAGCAATTGAAGGCTGTCGGTGAATACCATTGATACATGTCGGAATGAAGGAACTAAGGATAGCAGGCTCCTTTCTGCGGTGAAAAGGCATCTTATTCATCGATTTAACTCACAATAAGTAAGAGTCTGACTACTTTAACAGGCGTAACCACCATGAATGATAGACATATTAGGGATTCCTGGACAAATATCTCCATTTTGGCGTTGCTTCCTGTCACTATATTTTACGTTAGACACAACGTTAGTAATACTGCCATCTAAGAGGCTATGCGTGCTATGGCAACATCTCGAAACTGTTGCAAAATTTACACTGCTTTGATTTTTCTTTTGTACATACCGAATCATAACGGCTCCGTGGCTTAGCAATGAGTTACTGTGCTAGGGGCCGTGGGTTCGAATCCCGCACGGAACAAGTATTTGTATGGCCTACAAATAATTGTTCCGGGTCTGGATGTTTGTCCTTGTGCAATTTGTGTTTGTAAACTGCCTCCATGATACAGGAGAAAATCCTAGTGTGGGGGTAACGTTTTTTTTTTAAAATATAGCAATACCGAAAATATAAATCGTTCCTTCCGTGATACTCATCGAAATATTTTTACAATTATGCCATTTTAATGACGTAAAATTTGTAGTTTAACATTTTTTTATACCAAAATACCAAAGATTGTTTATGAATTCAATAATTTGCATTTCGTCCTGTGTTCATCAAGAAATTTTATTATTTTAATATCAAAACAACCTTCACAAAAAACTTTGTTAAATTCGTTTTAAGTTATAAAATGAAAAACAAAATTAGTGCTAAACGCTATTTTATTAAACGGTCGTATTTATAATGTCTATTGTCTGTGATGTCAGTGCTGCTAGTCGGTTCGCTTACTTGCAGTTTCACAAAACGACATAGTAATGCCGCTGACATCTATATCATAACAATTCTGAATGTTAAGACACCCTTTTTTCAATGGTCCCGGGACTACCTTGGCTTGTTTGGTATTCTAAAAAACCTACAAACTAAGAAGATACTGGCGACATCTGCTCCTAAAATTAAATATTTTTCCTAACAAATATTTATTCATTTCCGTTTACATTTTTACATATATTTCTTGGAGTGATACAAAGATGCTTTTTGAATGCTGAATGATTTTAAGTATAGAGTACGCATTTTAATATTTAAATAAAGAGCGCTACCCACGCACATAACAAAGTTAGATTGTCAACGTCCACGGCATAGATATCGATTAAACTTACACCAATGTCTATACATTTTGCTTCCATATTTATCGCGCCGACATAAATGTGCCGTGCCGTGGTGTTCGGCGGTAAATTATTATTGAATTAAATAAAGAACTTTGTTTATACTTACATACTATCCTACTTAATCGCGTATTTTAGCAACTGTTTTTTTAGAATATGGGTGACAAACCAGCACACAGTCCATCTGATGGTAAGTGGATGCAGAGATCCATAGACATTCTAATTTTATTCTCGATTAAAATTCAAAAGACAGATGTGTTGTCACCCCTGAGGACTGAGATGGAATGCTTCGTTTACAATAAAATGGGTCTCCGGTTTTCTATACTCACCATACGATACAAGCCGCTATTTTACGTTGGTATTCTGTGAGTGCCTGGTTCCAGCCCGGTCGAGAAGACCCATTCGTGCTACAACCATAATATAGCTTTGAAATAAGACTTTTGAACATATAGGAATGTTTATTTTTATAGCTGCAGCGTGGCTCACCACGTAAAACCTAAAAGTATTTATAGTAACAGCATAAATGGACCATGTTGTGCAGAAATGTTTTCAACCCACAATAACAAAGTTATTCAGATCTGAAAGACAAATGCATTTCTATTTTGGTAAAAGCCCTATTATATCATGTTATGTATATCATTTTAAAGAAAATTGAATGTAGTAACGACTCGCCGGGCTCCAAGTTATGAACTACCCGTAACGCTTGCTTCTGCAAAATGAATTTGGATCTACATCCAACCATAACAAGCACACCGACTCTTTAATCCCTTTGGGGTGAATTTATCAAACGAATCACGAGATCTTGAAGAAGTATTAGTCAACCAAAAGAGACCATGGCCACTTTAAGGGGAACAAGACGCATGTTCGATGAAACCATGCAAGACTATTATTATTATTATGACTCTACTGTGATTCGAGTGTATGAACGAACTAGACATTCAGGTATACCAACACCTAAAATACCAGTAGCTTCCGGATCACCGCAATTTGACATAACTGGCGTATACAACCAACATCAGATGAAGCGGGTAAGCACCTATTAACTGTGTGTTACGTCATAAAATGCGTAACTTCATCCTGTTTATACTCGCAATATCCAACATTAATCTGGATGACTTCAAAGAGAAGTGGCTTTTTTGATACCAATTAAATTTACTTCAGTCCAAGTCAGAATGCATCGACAATATCTATTGCGAAATAATCTACTTATTACCAGGAAACGACATGGGTTATGAAGCAAAATTTGACTATGGGAGTTATTCCTCGACGACATAGTCTACAGGAAGATTTAGAAAATAAAATCTTTAATGCATCTCATTCCGAAAAAATGACCACACAGATTGAATTATCAGTATTCTAACTAACCGTAAACATATTCCAATCTCATTTTTCATACTTGGAAATAAAGTGAAAAAAGGACCTCTGGATCGTTATAGTAGCCAGTTTGTAGGTTGGACAACACGGTCCAAATGTTCTGCCTCTGCAGGTTTCCTTTAATTTCACCAGATGGCCTTCAATTTCTAAAGCTTTTATAGAGCAGAATAGTCCTCCACGCTGCCTAACTGTTGACAATCTTCACAAATCCTAGAGACGAACTGGTTTCCTGAAGATATTTACCTTCACCCAGTACATGGAAAACATCTTAATATTGTGATTAACTAAATGAGTAAAGCCGGCGGGGATCGAATTGATTTTTTATAACATTAAAAAG